TATATAAAGAAGTTCTACATACATACTTGTGCTCTTGAGTAAAACCAAATGAAGGGTTAGTTAAACCTTACTTCATGTCATTAATATGCCGAATTAATTTGAACCTACTTTGATAACTTATGAATAGTAAGACAATACATTGTTTTCTTCGTGACTGTTTCTTTATGTATTCTAAAGAAACTAGACTACTTATATATGTAGTGTTCGATTTCACTTGGACAACTTCAGTCTTTCTTCGAACGCCGCTTTATTTACAATTCTCATCATGTCCTCCACATTCCACAATATCCAGGTCGCCACGGCTCGCTCGCCGTGCTTCACTCGACTCGCTCGCCACCTTTGTCTCTCCACTCCCCACGATTACTTCGCTTGCTTCGCACTCAGCGACTCCGCACTCAGCAACTCCGCACACAGCGTCTTCGCACGCAGCGACTTCGCACACAGAATCTTCAGCTCCGCTATCGCTATGCTCACTCCACTGCTGGCTATTCTCTTCTTCAGCTCCGCTATCGCTATGCTCACTCCACTGCTAACTACTTCGTCTCTAGTAATAGGTTTTACCCTTTTAACTGGCACAAAAACTGACACCTTTATTCAAGGCATCATGTTTGCAATAACCACAACACAAGCAGTCAAAATTCAAACAAAAGAGACAACTCTGATAATAATATGCACTGTCCTTGAATTTGATTGGTCCACACCCGAGACGGCTTTTCTTAGAGCCTAGTCTCCACTGGTGTTGGACAAGAAGACGCCAAAAGGCGTACAACTCAAAAACAGTGCACTATCAGAGTATTGAGGGCTCGGGGTGAGCATTTACATTATGAGACCTCCTTTGCCAGTAACAAGATATAGCAATAGGTTTTACCCTTTTAACTGACACAAAAACTGACACCTTTATTCAAGGCATCATGTTTGCAATAACCACAACACAAGCAGTCAAAATGCAAACAAAAGAGACAACTCTGATAATAATATGCACTGTCCTTGAATTTGATTGGTCCACACCCGAGACGGCTTTTCTTAGAGCCTAGTCTCCACTAGTGTTAGACCCGAAGACGCAAAAAGGCGTATAACTCAAAAACAGCGCACTATCAGAGTATTGAGGGCTGGGGGTGAGCATTTACATTATGAGACCTCCTCAATACTCTGATAGTGCGCTGTTTTTGAGTTGTACGCTTTTTGGCGTCTTCTTGTCCAACACCAGTGGAGACTAGGCTCTAAGAAAAGCCGTCTCGGGTGTGGACCAATGAAATTCAAGGACAGTGCATATTATTATCAGAGTTATCTCTTTTGTTTGCATTTTGACTGCTAGTGTTGTGGTTATTGCAAACATGATGCCTTGAATAAAGGTGTCAGTTGTTGTACTTCGTCTCTGTTCAGCTTCGCTATTGCTACGCTCACTCCACTGCTAACTACTTCGTCTTTGTTCAGCTTCGCTATCGCTACGCTCTCTCCTTCCAACTCTGTCTCTCCAACTCTGTCTTCCAAACTCTGTCTCTCAACTCTCCACACTTCAATTCCCCCTGTTGACTCCAAGCTCTCCCAACTCCACGTCTTGCCTCGTCCAGCTCCCAACTCCAACAACCCGCTCTCTGTGCGTCTCCCCAATGTATCTCCATTCTCATTACCCCTAATTAATTGGCCCGCGTGCCTCCCCACGCTTTGCGTCCTCAAACACCTGCCTTTCTCCAGACATCTCGACGCCTCCTCGCCCTTGACAACAGCCCCAGCCAATCACCGCCGTTGCTGGTCTTCTGGCTTAATTGGCCCAACCGTTACCTCATCATCCCACCCCTTGCACCTGGCTGTCCTAACATGACCCATACTGTTTTTGCCTTCGCTACAGGCTGACCCAAGATAACCCGTAATGTCTGTGTGATCATGCAATCACACCGCCTCCACCACGCACCTTCGTACTCCACTACATATATACTAAAGACATAAACACAACTAACGTCCAGGGCAATGTATTCTATATCAAAAATGTAGCCAGCTCTGCGGATAAACAGAAATAAATGATTCAGTAAGACAGAATATATGGTGACTACTGCATGAAATTCTGTCCATGATGCTAATGACATGCTGACCACGTCAGCCACACATTAATGACAGTTTGGAAAATTGTAAACCGCTCTACTGAGCAAAATTAATTTATCTGACAAAATATGATTATGCCATTAACAGATGCATTTAAATTTATGTGTACACTTTAATGCTGGCACCGGGATAATTTAAACACAATTCCCATCATTACATATTCACATGTTGATGTGTAATGAAAAGTTAATTATTCTTACAATAGATTTTTAATTAAGTTACGTGAAATACGATTAAAATCCCATAATCCTTAGGTGTAGATATTGTACTACAAAGCAAGATTTACCAAAAACAAAGTGTGGTTTCTGTCTTAGGGTAAGGCTGTTTATTTTACAGGTTTGAAAATCACAAAGTTGAATTTACTTCTCGGTCATGTTATTGCTGAAGTCAATGTATCGACCCAAATTTCTCCTAATGCATATGAAAAAATGCCATTGTGTGTTTACTTTTTAGACATGCTGGTAAAAGAAGTACATATTTTTCAAAGAGAGTTGCAAGAGCAGATAAATCTTGACTTAAAGCTTTCATGACTGCAGGAATTCATATTCTTTGCGTCTTTCGGTAAAGTCGGTAAAGTCATGTAGATAGGTTATTTTCTTTCAACCTATCTACGTGACTTTACCGAAAGACCCAAAGAATATGCTCTTGCATATTCATTTACAGTAACTTAAAGAGGGCTTGTCAACCTGTGTACCACACAAAATTCAAAATGAAGGGGTACTTTTGTGTTTTGTGGAGATGAAATGTTGAAAGTGTTAGAGCGTGAGATCCACCAATGTAACCAAATGGACCTTGCACAGTGCATCCTTGAATTAAACCCAGAAAATCTACTCTTATTGTGTGATGTCAGTGCTAATAAAGTAGCCATGCCCTTAACTGACTTTATAATAGAAAAGAGGCAGCTCTATGATAAAATAGATTTTGTACTGCATGTATTTTTGTACAATGTATGAATAGTGTTAGCTTCAAGGAATAATTCGTATACATTTGCATAAAATTCTAACAATCTTGATGTTTCTCAGTGGTATATTCCAGGATAGGCCATATTAATTCTGCACACGTATTCATGGCAAGTCATAAAGGTCAAAAGGAAATTATGTTTTACCAAACTCAAGTAATAAACTGGACATCATGTTATAATTCACAAAGAACAAGACCCATGCACTAATAAGGCAGAATAACGTATAGCAGTAATGTTGTGTTTTGAGCAATGGTCTGAAGTTCAGAGCGTATGTAATCAGCGCCGTGTATTATTTATCATCGCTAAGGGCTACGTGAAAGGGAAATATTTGCTACCTTTTTCTCTCCCATGAAACAAGCCCATCACGTCCAATCTGGCTCACCAATGTTCCAACACAGTGTATAAAAAAAAGACCTCATGATACTGCACCGGAGTGGAATGGTGGTACAGCAGCCAGCGCATTGGGCAATGAACCTGTCAATCTGTGTTCAATTCCCAGCCACGCCTAACATCGGTAGCGAGTGATAAATCAATATTGTTGCCCTCACTCCCCCTCATTCACCAACTCACAATGATCAGCTTGGCAAATTATGGCTCAGCAACCATATGAATAACAGGGCATGGTTCCGAAGCCTTCATCCAGCAGTTACTTACAAGGGGCTTTAAGTAATTAATAATTCTTATTTTGCACTATAACCCTAACCTCTTCCCTGATCAAAATACAATTGATCGGACAAACGACTGATATAGTTAATGAATATAACGTTATTCTCTCATAACTGCTTGTCACCACATCCCACGAAATCTATACCTCCATACTACTTAATGTTCAAATGAAAGCTTGCAAAAATATATTATTTCAGCGGCATATGATAGGTCCTTTAATGTGTACCTGTGCGGTGCACTCCGTGCAATGAATAAATAACATGTATAACTTATTTCACAACTATGGGACCCTTTCGCTCTATATTGGTACTAAAAAAGGGTGTCGGAGTTATAACTACTCAATGTGAGCTATTCATACTTTCGTGTTTGCATTGTTCATGTACTATTCGCCTTTTGGTGGCCTTTGGTTTTTACCACAAGTATGAGTGGCTGCGCAGACACGATGCCCTTGTCATTGGTGTCTGTTTGGTGTATTGACACCAGCAAGGGTATAAAGCCTTATACTGGTAGGAACCTCCTGGTTACACCAGCCCACAGGGGATTATTGTGTCCGTCCGTCCGTCGTGCATCCAAAAATGGGAGGGGTGGGGCTGGGTGGAGAGGGGAGGGTGGGGAGGGGCTGGGTCGGGAGGGAGGGGCTGGGTGGGGAGGGGAGGGGAGGGTGGGGAGGGGCTGGGTGGGGAGGGTGGGGCTGGGTGGGGGATGGGAGGGGTGGGAGCTGGGTGGGGTGGGGCTGGTCACCCCGTGGTGCCCTTATAAAACTCAACGTTTAACCTACTCACGCCGGCTTGTGCCCGCCCTCACAGTCGGGCATATTTGCGGGATACACCACACCGCTGTTGACCCTGGCCATTGAACGAGCAACCCAACGTTCCTACCAGCTTCCTCCGCAGGAATGTGTTTTAACATTCAAAATATTGCATAACAAAGTTGTTAACAAACTCTTTGGGCCTTTCGGTAAAGTCACGTAGATAGTAACACATTAATACTGTGTATGTTTTATGCTTGTTTTTTTTTTCCTCCAGTGGATATTAATATGCCGACACTACAAACAATTGCCACCTTCACTGCATGCAAACCTTTGTACTGTGATATTACTGTCGACAGAACCAATTTTAATTCAGTAAATTTCGGCGAGGCTATTCGACGAATGATATTCTGAATAAAGGGATCTCTGAACAATCCTCGTGAGCTCTGCGGTACAGCACAAAGCCCATTCCATTCATCGTGTCTCGTGTCCACGCACTTCACACTGTCTCAATTTGTCGAGCAGAAGCTGCTGATGGGCAATGGCAGTGAGGAAGCCGGCATCGTACAACTGGATCAGCTGAACATGGCGCCACCAGACCTCCACAAGGAGGTGAGTTTGAACGGCACAAAATGACTCGTGCACTCACTTCAAGTTTAATCAGAGTCCATGGTTCAAATCGATGGTGGATACACACTTAGCTCCTGTATTCGGTAAACATCAGCGGTGTGCATGTTGAAAGAGAGAATGGGATCGTGCTTGATTGTCGCGTTTGATATGCCACACAATAGCAAAGATGATCCCATCCCAAGCATTAAATAGTGTCATCTGTCTTTTGCAAAATCTTTTTACATGAAGCTCTTTAGCAACATATAATGAGTTTCAAATTCAGGGAGAGCAGGACCAATGTATTGCATTATGGTCTATTTACCAGTATTGCCATTTACCTGCTGTACTAGAATGTATTATCGATGTGGGTTTGAGCCTGCATGTTCCAATACATTTTTATAGGCATATTGCACTTCATCAATTAAAATTTTGATGTTAACTGTCAATTAAAATATTCCAGAAACATCAAATAATATGTGCCTTCAAATTGTGACTATCTAGAATTTGTGTTATAACGTATCACATTGGGATTTTGCAAAAAATCTTTATAGAAACCATTTGATTTGTTGAAAATTATCTTTTTCAAAATGCGTAATATGAATAACTTGGGCATTTTACTGCGTGATACATCATAGTATTGCCATATAGCAGTAACCAGTTATCAGATGTGCTTTCATACAAGCAGCAGCTCGATACTTAATTGCTGATGTCCATTATCTGCACGGTTTATATGCAGAATAATGTTGGATTGGCGTTGCATTTATTGTTGCAATCTGTTTCAAAGACAAAGATCCCCAATATCTCCTTAACAGACCGTAGGAGCAAGTGCTGTTAGCGAGCACCTATGCAATCTGTTACATACCTTTATTCACCGACATTGTTACTGCAGGGATTAATACCGAAGCAAGTGCAATTAATAAATAGCAGATAATGTGCATAAAACGACACTTTCCCGCAAGGATCGCTGTGAACAAAGAGGAAAATTTAACAATGTTTATAAGCACAGGAAATAAAAGTTGAATTTGTAATGAAGGTTTTCGTTAAAATCATGTGGCAAAAATACGGCTGTGCCTATTTGAATTTTAATCGAGGTGAGAGGGTGTACGTGACTGTGCAGATAGCAGAGTAATCTGATCCCAGTGGTGCCATTTGCCTCCACTTGAACTTGTGAACCAGAATTTGTTCTGTTTCTCTCACTCTCCTGTGAACCACCGTTTGTTGTTAGACTTTTCTTTCCTGTGGCCCAAAGAAGGGAGCACATCCACATAAATTCATGGGACAAATGATAGATTAGTCGATTGTACTTGGACACAAATTTATTTTAAATTTGCAATACAATTTAGGCCCATGTTTCAAATGGTAAATTAGCTTCTTTGCATTGGAACCCAATAACGGAAAGTACTGCAAATGGTTTCGGCAAATACACACTGACAATTGGATAAATAAAAAAAATTGCAGAGCAATTAAAATCGTACACTTATTCATGGAAACTAAACGGCTATTCCAATTTATGGAAATTCACCCTCATACTGTCACATCTTTAAGGGATACAAAGTTTAGGTGTGATCCCTCTGCTGTCAGTTTTAGCCAGGGATTTGATCGTTTTAGCCTTTGCTTGACCTCAGAAAATCATACTTTGCCTCGGGACAAATTCTACCCATTAACTTTGAATATCATTCCTGTGTCAAAATGTATGGTTTTATTTTTAATGCATTCCGAATTTAGCTCTTTCCTTACGACATTAAAAAAAACCAAGGGCGTTTTAATCGATGCATGATTTAACAGTCCTACATAAAATGCATATCTACAAAGCATTAGTTACACGATTTGACGCTCCCCCCTTCTGCCTTTTTAATGTACTGTACCCTATTTTGTATGTTGTGATTGATCTTCGTTAATGGCTATAATTCATCTTTATTTATCATCAGTCACTTTCGTTAGGGATTAGCCTCATCAACAAACACCCTCCAAAACCTAAATAATAATGAATCAGTGGCTTTCATGCCAGCTTACACAAGCTCTGAACATATAATGCGCTACCACTGTTATCTCGTGTTTTTATTATGATGGAAATTATACAAAAAATAAATTACATTTATATAATAAAGTCTTGTTTGTGGAATCTCTGGCATATTGACAGTAAAACGTTATGAACAATGAAGTCTCCTCACGATTCAATTTCTTTTTTAGCAATTTAGGGTCATTATTTGATTGAAGAATACTACACTATGGTCAGGACAGTTAACAGGCTGCCTGACCAACAATGTCGAGGATGTGAAGACGGTGACAAAGACTCCTGTAGCACGATGGGTTCCACTCCAAACAACAGCCCGACTCTTGATGGGGGCTCCCCTTTTATCCACCCACCGTGATCTCGATCCGCCCTTGGCCACGCCCCCTTCTAGAATCTACGAGAAGGTTCCAGGGCTTTACCTCACGTGCCCCCTCTGTCATCTTTGCCCCACTTCCCTCTCTCCGGCCTATCACATGACCTGCTGGCAGACAGGGCTGCTACAACTGCAGATTCCCTTCTAACTCATTCCATGTCACTACATATACCATCAGAAAAATGAACCAATCACTTTATAGCTTCTCAAAAATAACTGTGTATAATAAAAATTTGACAATCAATGAAAATGAAAGGTTGTTAATTACATTATGTAGATAATAAATTTTTTATGGTACATGTTATTTAAAGAAAGAAAATATTCTCTATTTGGATATGTTTTAAATGCTACTGTAAAGGAGTTCCAGCCCAGGAAAGTCTTGAACTTGGACCTTTATAAAGTCATCAGCAGAGTACTTATTTCCTACGTTGCAGTACATTAGTATTGGCAATTTATCTGGTCTCTCATAATCATTGTTTCATTGGTTTATTTTTTTTGTTCTTGCTCTGTCTGTTTTCCTCGCACCATTTGCAGGAGTTCAACTTTGGCGATGAGTTTGTGCACCAGGCAATCCACACCATCGAGTACTGCCTGGGCTGCATCTCCAACACAGCTTCCTACTTGCGTCTCTGGGCTCTCAGCCTGGCACATGCCCGTAAGTACAGACTCCAACAGAAACGATTTGTCAAACTGGTTCTAAATTAGACAGGCACAGGCATAAATGAACATGGGTTCTGTGTACGTTCATGGTTTAATTGCCACATTTACGTAATTCATTCTCAGATTATTCTGACAGTTGCAGTTGGTTTTCTATGTATGTATGTTGAAATTCTATAGCACCGTACGTAGCCAACCATGCGAATCGGATGGTATTACAAATACAGAATGTAAAACTACTGTACTGTATATGTTTATGTCTGCATAAATGAGATGTGGTTCAAATGCATGTGGAGTTTAGCCAAACCTATTTCATTTCATTTCTTTGAATATGGAGTACACGCACTATTACAAGCCCCTCAGGAGGGAGTGACAGCTTGTACATAATAGTTTTGAGTGACATAATATATTACAGTGTGTAATATAATATATAAGTTTAAAAAACATCAATCACATTCAAATAAATCAGTGTGTATTCACATAGCATGTCAATAACGAGTGGACCAAAAAAACTGAACACGTATATACTGCTGTGTGTATACCCATATCCTAGATTTGAAGCTTTCGTGACTGCAAGGATTCATACTCTTTGGTTCTATTCGGTAAAGTCACGTAGGTAAAACAAATTAAAATCAATTGAAATAAAATGAAAGAAACAATTAAAACACGACGTTTCGGAGGCAAAGCAAGCTTCCGTCTTCAGGTGGGACCAGTCACAGCAAAATCGCTGCACCAAGTGGTGAGGTTCTGGGAACCTCGAGTTTAAATACAGGTTGAGGGGGGGGGTGTGGGAGGGGCCATGTAGGGGACTTTAGTGGAGTGCGGAGCTGAGTTAATCCGTCTTTTGTTGTGTAGATGGGTCATTGTGTGTGTGCAATATAAACGGTAAAAAATAGAAGAAAATTAAAGAAGATCATCGGGGATGTGCTGTACGGGGGCAAGGTACTTTGTAAACCTACAGGTTATCACCAAAGATTTGTCCACGAAGCCATTCAGATATACAAACACAGGCATAACTTCAACTGAGAGGATGGTTTCAAATTAAGCAACCACTGGAAAGACGTTTTAAATCATACCAAACGTTAACTAATTTCTAACAGCAACTTCAAGCAGTGGTATACCAAACATATTCTTTCCGAACCTTTCTATTTCCTTTTTTCTACTGACCCCGTACAGCACATCCTCGACGACCTTCATTTTTTCCCGTTTATACTCCACACACACAGTGACCCATCTACACAACAAAAGACGGATTAACTCAGCTCCGCACTCAACTAAAGTCCCCTACATGGCCCCTCCCACACCCCCCCCCCTCAACCTGTATTTAAGCTCGAGGTTCCCAGAACCTCACCACTTGGTGCAGCGATTTTGCTGTGACTGGTCCCACCTGAAGACGGAAGCTTGCTTTGCCTCCGAAACGTCGTGTTTAAATGGTTTCTTTCATTTTATTTTAATTTGTTTTACCTACGTGACTTTACCGAATAGAACCCTCAAAAACGCTAAGATGCCAGCTAGCAACCTCAGCAAAGATGAGCGTTTTGAATTATATAAATTAAAAAAGAGGGATGATATTGTAGTCCTCTCAGCTGACAAGGGCAATGCTACTGTCATCATGGATGAAATAGAATACAACAACAAAATTAAAGAATTACTCGACGATGGTAGTTATACAAAAATAAAAAGAGATCCCACCAACAGCCTCGTCACACAAACCAACAAAATAATTTCTGATTCAACCGCATTAATTGATCAATCTAAACAGTTTTCGTTGAAACCTTCTGCTGCCAGGCCACCAAGATTATACGGCTTACCAAAAATACATAAAGTAGATACACCCCTTCGTCCCATCGTCTCTACTATCAACTCCCCCACCTACAAACTGGCTCGTTTTTTGTCTGAAATCCTGCGTCCTTTCACTGGAAAAACCACCTCTGCGGTACAAAATTCTACTCACCTGGTATCGACAATCAAGGGTATTTCCCTGTCCCCAGACGACCTGCTTGTCAGTTTTGATGTAGTTTCCTTATTCACCAAGGTTCCTGTACCTGACACCATCGCAATCATTAAAGACTTGGTTCATCAAGGACTAAACACTGAGGTACCCCCCCTGGTGAGACACTTTAACCAATACATACTTCACTTGGAATGGAACTTTCTACAAACAAACTGAGGGCACCCCAATGGGCTCCCCCCTATCTCCGGTTATAGCTAACATTTTCATGGAGAAAGTTGAGACTGACGCCATCCAGACTGCCACTCTGCGCACAACCTTATGGAAGAGGTACGTGGATGACACTTTTGTCATCTGGCCACATGGCCGGCCTGCTCTAGACCAATTCTTCAACCACATCAATTCCATACACCCAGCCATCAGATTTACCATGGAAGTCGAAAAAGATGGCAAGCTACCTTTTTTGGATGTCCTAATTAAAAAGAGACCTGATGGTTCAATGAGCCACTCTGTCTACAGGAAAGCTACCCATACGGATGCTTATCTGAAACCGGATTCCCACCACCAACCATCACAGAAGAATTCTCTCATCAAGACTCTGTATCATAGAGCCCAATGCATATCCGACCAGGAACACATAGGCAGTGAACTCAAGCACGTACACCAAGCTCTTAAGGCTAATGGTTACTCCGACTATACAATCCGCAAAGCTATCACTCAAACCATGAAGAAGGACCCTCTTGAGGAGCCTTTCAAAACCATCACTTTACCCTACATTGCGGGGATCACAAAAAAGATCTCCAAAATCCTGAACAAACACAAGATCCAGGCCCGTTTCAACACATTATATAAAATCCGTGATCTGGTTCCGTCTGTAAAAGATGTGATTCCGGACATACAGTACCCTGGTGTCTACAAACTAAGTTGCCTCTGTGGTAGTAGTTACATTGGAGAAACCAAACGCCATGTCTCGGACCGCATTCGTGAACACAAAGCAGACCTTAAACACGGTAGGACCAACACCTCGGCCGTGGCAGATCATTGTTATAATTCAGTAGGCTCACATGACATTGACTTTTCCAAGACAGAGGTTCTTTGTAAGCCATCTGGCTACCATGAGAGATTTGTTCATGAGGCTATCCACATATACAAGCACAGAGACAATTTCAACCGAGAAGATGGATTCTGGCTTAGCAATCATTAGAAAGATTTGATAAACCATTTCAGGTCTTAATTGATTGTTCACGCTTACGGTGGCTTTCAGACAGCATACATTAATTTTTCGTCTCCCCCCCTCTTTTCAGAACATAGATGGACTAGTCCTTCTAAATAAACTGCTAAATCGCTTCGCGTGGCGCTGACGTTTTTTTATAAATAAATACACCGTTTAAAAATAAATAAATTAATGTGAACCGACACACCTGATGACAACCGTTTGTGTTATGGTCGAAACATCGTGAGAATTTTTTATTGTTTATACATTTTATTAATTTATTGTTTCCCTTCAACGTGACTTTACCGAAAGAGCTAAGGATATAGAACCAAAGAGTATATACATATCTTTAAAATGTTTAAGTTGTATTTTAAAGGAAGAACATATTTTAATTTAAGTAAGAACAGTCACCCACTCCCCGTGCCCTAATATTTCTATGTGCCCAGGGCATCGATATGTGTCCTGGTGTATTTGGATTTAATGACAGAGGAATACTTTGCTGTGTTCCCTTTGCTCAGTCACGGGTGAAATTTATTTTCATAATTAAAGTACTGCCCATACACTGCATTTACACATGTATGCCCCAGCAGTACTTGTACAGTATAAACAGTACGTAAAAGTATGCATAAATGTCAATACAAACTATAAATATGACTAATAATGAAGGCATCACCAATAGCACTGAAACAGTTTTGCAACAATGTTCATGTATAGTTTGGTCTTAATGTGCACTATGGACGTATTGTGTGTATTCAGATAGTGCTGCACTTGAAACTACATCACTGCATGGTGGCAGGTTTACCTCGAGTGATATTTTATTTGTTTTGGAGGCCATTCTGTTAGAAAGACAAGCCAATGTAACATCAGGAGTGCACTCAACAGACGGGTCTAATCTATAATCCAGACATAATGAACACGGTTGCAGTCTGGCCTAACTGGTGGGGCATGGTCTTCCCATGTATGTACCCTTTGAAACATCTCCCAGGCAATGTCTTGTAAAATGGGATGATGAATGAAGGCCTCCCAAAGCTCTCGACATCTCCCTCAGCCTTGCAATGCAACAATCCACCTAGCACCTGCACATCTCCCTCAGCCTTGCAATGCAACAATCCACCTAGCACCTGCACATGAGCTGATATCGTCACTCTGCGGTAGACATCTTATTTGATGTGTTCTCTTTGGCTGCCACACCGTCATTAGTCTTGGCAACCAGCAATCATCCCTTCTTGCAACATGCCCTGCGTAAGCCCACTTACTTTTCTTAACAATCAATATGATTGTCAATATGACTGTTAAAAAAAGCATGCTTTGTGCACGTTTCTGATTTTTATTGAATTTATTTGTCAATGTCCACGTTTCTGCTGCATATGTGATTTACATATTGTGATTTGCTAATGTGATTCACTTGTGTGATTTACATGGGATTTACATATGTGATTCACAGTCTCATTGTAGGCAGTTGAGTCTTTCAACAGCGCTCCAGCTTATTCTCATCAACTTCTTCAATTCAACACAAATTAAAGTGCATTACTATTACGTTTAAGTAAGTCAAAGTGCATTCCTGCAGTGCCTTTTGACTTACTAAAACTGGACACTCGCTCAGAAGCTTGACAGCACGGTCAAATTATAGTTTGAAGGTTATTTCACATTGAGTGTTTGCAAGAGTGACCTGCGTCACCAAAATGACAAAAGCAAAACAAATAAAAGTACAGATACAAACGCAGCAATAGAAGTGATTGGTTGTGGTGCTCACGTGCAGTACATCTGGTTCTAATGTAGGCATTTGGAGCCAAGTGTCCTCATAATTTTGACGACGCAAGTGCAATGCAGTTGT